TGCAGCCTCCTCAGACCTCCAAACACACTGGGCCAGGAGCTCCCTATGGGCTTTCCTGAGGCCTCCACCCACCCTGGGCCGGGATCCTTATGGGCTTTTGTGTGGCCTCCAGGGGCCTACACATGCCCTGGGCCATGGGGGCCCTATGGGCTTTCATGAAGCCTCCCGGGTCCTCCGTGCGCCCTGGGCCTGGGGGTCCCTATGGGCTATCGAGCCTCCTCCCTGGGCCTCTGCGCGCCCTGTGAGAGGGGGACCGTATGGGCTTTCATGCGGCCTCCAGGGCCTCCGTGCATCCTGGACCAGGGGGGCCCTATTGGCTTTCATGCGGCCTCTCAACCCACAGTCAGCAAGTCTTTTACAGTGCTCCTAAATACAAGCTGGGCTGCGTGGCCACTTGCAGAGACCTTCAAGGACCGCCAAACTTTGTAGGAAGAAGTAGCGTTGGGAAGCTCAGAAGCTGCCATTTCTCCACTGGAGCGAGTAACCAGCACAGTGGTGCCTCTGCACAGGCCGTCGTCTGCCTGGAGGGAGGATCATACCCCTCAGAGTTCAGCAGAAGAGGATTCCTCACGTGCTCTCGAAAGCCTCTGTGGTAACATTTGCCCCAAGAACTTTGTAGTGCCTTTATCTGGCTTTCACAGTGTTTTTGATGGCCCAGGAATTCATCCTGTTTTGATCAGCGATGGTATTTTTGCCTAGAGGTGCATCTCTCTGCCTGGCCTTAGTGGCATGGGGCCTGCTTCACCTCACGGGGAGAAGGTGTTGATGCAGAATGTGCTCTGTGCTCCATCCAAGATGTAGCTTTGCCTACAAAGCACTGATTCTTGTGCAAGCCCTCTGAAAATGACTTTTAGCAGAAGTTTTTTTTTTTTAGTGCTACAGTGTGCTCTCTGCTAAATACCCCACCTATTTTTAAGCATTTCACAGGCCTTTTGATGAAGATAGATAGCCCAGTTATCAGCAGGGCTGCAGGGTGGAGCTCAGGCTCTGGCTGAGCCAGGCGGGTCTGGCTCTTGGGGACCTGTTTTGGTCCTGTCGTGACCTCTAAGAGAGGAAGGCACTCAAATGCACCCTTCACCATCGCTCCCATCTGGTGGGTCCCCAAGGACAGGCTTCTTTGGCATTGCTGTTGTGGGAGAGAGGAGTGAAAACATTGACTCTCAGGTCCTGTGTTCTGCCCTGGCCTTAGACATGTGGTTCAGTAGCACAAGTTTATTTTGATGCTTTCATTCACTATAGGGGCATTAAAATAAAGCAACTGATGCCCAGTTCTCTGGCAGCAGGCGTGGAGGCTGGGGGACACACACTCTTCAACCACCTTTGGAGCTGGGTTAGGTTGCGAGGCGCCCTCCAGAGAGGGATGGGATGAAGTGGCCTCCAATGAAAACCGCCTTGGTTTTTAGAGGGAATGTGAACAGCTTCTGTGAAGTGAGTGGCTAAAGTTGGGGCCAACCCCCTGTTTTATTCGATGGGAAAGCCGTGCTTCTGCTGAGCCAGATGCTGGGTGTGTGGGCCGCAGACCAGGCAATTCAGTCGTTTGCTTTTGAGCAGCACGTGCCACCCAGCGATGCCAGAAGCGTGTGGTCGGTGTCATGGCCTTAGACACACAGCTTGAAACAGCTCTGGAGAACTTGTGTGACCAGCAGCCTTGGCTGAACCAGAGGCGGTGGTGACGCTGCTGCTCGGTGGAGAGGTGCAGCGCGAGCAGCGGCAGCATCTGGGACCAGCCGGTGCTGAGCAGCGAGGGGAGAGCCCCCTCGGCACGTGCGATAGCTGCACAAGGGCTCGTCCGGGTGCTTTTGGGATTTGTTCTCTTGTTGCAGTCGTCCTCGCTACCAGAATGGTTGGAGCTTTGGCCTCTGCTCTTCCTGAGCAGAAAAGCGCCAAATGAGGGGTGCAAATGCATGAAAATAGTTCTGAATCCTCTTGAAATGCTCTTTTCCTGGGAAAGCAGCACCCTCTGCTCCTCCTGTTTTGCACTAACCTCTTTTTTCATGCTACCCTTGCTCTCCATTCCCAATCCCCAGTGTAAAAAGCAGGCAGCTAATGAGTACGTTCCTCGTTTTGGAACTGATCTGACACAAATCAATAAGGTGCTTTCTTTGCTTCAGTCCTATCTTGCTGTGATGTTTGTCGTTCTTTTTTTGAGGGCCGTCAAACTTCACAGCGTGAGGGAGATTTCAGAAAACGGAGAACGTTGTTCTGGAAAAAACAGCAGCATCAGTCCAGCTGGAGTTAGATAGATCATTGGTTGTAGTAGGAGGACTGGAGTTGGCAATAAACCACTGTCTGCCCTGGTGCGAAGTTCATGGCAGCAATGTGTAGTGCTCATGGTAATTCAAGGTCAAAGGCAGTGGCTTTTCCTTCAGTTTTCCTGATTTTCTTCTCCAGCTGTGCCCAGCTTTGCTGCTGCAGGGGACACTTTGCTGAATCCTCTAGCAGTTAGCAAACTTCTCGGGCATTATTTTCCCCGGTGCATGGAGCACTATCGGATTATAGGATGGGGAGAGAGCAGGGATGGTTGGTTAATGTCTGTGAGAGAGTCTGAGCCATGAAAGCTCTTCTGCCTTTGCTGGTCAGAACTAGGGATGAGCCAGTCTGAGAAGGGTGGACTCACCAAAACAATTTTGACTCCTATTGAAATGCTTTTTCCAGACAGTGCTTGAGAGAATAGAGGAGGAATCCTTGATGGAAGGGTTACGCAGGGTCTCCTGCAATGATGGGAGGGAATGTTCGAGCTCCTAGGGAATTGCTTTGCTAGAACTGGGTGTTAAATCTACAAAGGAAGGAGGGAGCTTGCAGTGAGGAGGAGGTGGTTTGTGATGGGACAGGATCACAGATGGGATGTTTAAAAGAAACCTTGCTGTGTATTCAGCGATTTGAGAAATTCAAATTGAGACCTGTGCATACAAATGTCAGAAAACTGGGAGTTTACGGTCTGTATTATCACATGCTCCCACTGGGAAACATTTGGGACTTACTCCCCTATACACCAACTTCAAGAAAAAAAATGGGGGGGACAAATTTTTTTGAAGAAATGAAATGTTTTATTTTTTAGAAAATAAATAAGTCAGAAATTTACAGTACATAATCCCAGTATTATGTAACACTACAGGGGGAGATATTGGTCTCTCCTTGGGTGTCAGACCAGAGTGGGAGCATCTTGTCTCTGATACCTACTTGGAGCTCTCTCTTATAGCAGCACTTCATAATGCCTTCATTAACGCAGTTTCTATGTGTAACAGGTTTCATGCAACAGCCACTGCATGCTCTAGGATTACCATAATCAAGCTCACTTTTCCAGAAAGGACAGAAACCTGATTTTTTTTCTTTTTTTATGGGCAAAGGGGAATCGGGTTAGGTTCCACTACAGAGCGGCACTTGAAATTCGGGTGGACAAAAGCAGTTGCTGGGGTCAGGGTCACCCCCTTTCTGCTACTGACTCAAACTAAGGACAAAGGCTGCAACAACCAAAAGATGCAAGCACCTTTTCTTACCATGTTCCCACCCATTTCTCTTCTACAGGAGGCTTTAAAGGCTTCCCATCTTCTGGGGCTCTACAAAGGGGCAACAAGAGGTGGCTGGAACAGCACAATACATTGAAGGTCTTATCAGTGCAAGGAGGTGGAGACTGATGCTTCTAGGACACACAATAGAGGAGCCAGAAATCCCCTTCCCTGCAGGTTGAGGTTGGGATTGTCTTCCCCATTTCCACTTCAGCAGTGTTTAGCATTTTCCCCTTGACCAACCTGGAAGTTGGACCACATCCTTCCAGTTACCTCGTTCTGGACAAACAGAGGCCAAGCCTCTGCTGTCACTAACTGGGAGGGCAGCGTGCATGAAAGAAGCTTCAGGATCGTGGTACTTTCTGCTTTGTGAATACTAATTCAATGTCTTTTCTTAGGAGGTGCGCTCAGGGGCACTGTATCCAGATGCTCTACTTGGTCTACAAAAAAATTTCAAATAATTTAGCAATTTTGGTAGAGTTTGTTATGTGAAGGCTAGAATACAAGGGTAATTTAGCTTTGCTGGAAAAAAAAGAGTTTCAGGGAAGCTTTAGATACGTTCAATTGCAAACGGGACAAGCCACGGGCTTCTCAGACTCCTTCTGGTACGTCCTGCATAGCCTAAGGAGCCACCTAAAAACTCACTGGGTCTTCAGGAAGTGTCAGCTCTGAATCTGAGAATTTGCCTGAGGGCTCATACCAGACTCATCAAGTTAGAATTAGCAGTCAGAAACAGCTGCAAGGGATAGGGAGGAAGTTCAGAAAGAGGTTAAGGAGAAAGAAAAGCAACCATGCTGGTAGGACACATTTCCCCAGAAGGAAATGTTGTTGTGTGGATGCCAACACACTGAAACCGTCCTCACCTGTCTGTGGAGAGGAGGACCATTTAAAAAGCCAGCACTGGTTGTGCAAGGAGGTGGCATGCTGACAACACCAAAAATGATAGGAGGTTCTATCAATCACACTGTTCCACCTATAAACAGAGGCTGCGTCTGCATGAGCAAGTAGTGTTGCCAGTAGATGGGTGCTTTAGAGCAGCACAGTTTTTGCTGAAGAGTTGATACTACGCTGTGTCTTTTTGGAGGGTTTAGCCTGGGCTAGCTCTCAGCTGGAGCACTTAAGTGGGCTACCAGAGAGTGTCTTTCAATGAAATTTCATTCAGAGTGATCTAGTTCAAAGACTACTCTGTGATGGGGGCAGAAATGCCAGGAAACTTGCCCTGAAAGCTGAACTCTGAATCCACACTAAATGCTGGCTTGCCTTCCATCACAGGCCCTTTCATGCTGCTGAAACACCTCATGGCTAAGGCTAGGGAAGCCAAGGAGAATCCAAGCCTTCTCTGAAGGGTGAACCCTTCAGACTGCTTCTCTCCTATATCTAGGATAACAAAGTAGTAATCCCTGAAGGATTTCGGGAGTTTTCCAGGGTGGTAAGGGATAGCATTCTGACAAAAGGCACGCTTCTGCTAGTCTCTAACATCACTATCTGCCTCCATAAACATCCTTTGGGAAGTGAAATGGCAAGAGAAGGATATCTCAGACTCTGCTTTCTTCAATCTCAACTGCTGCCTCGGCCCCTGAGGGCTCAGCCGTGGCTATTGCAAGCCCTGACACCTCTGCTCCTGGGAGGTTTTCTGCCCGTTGCTCTGCAGAGCCTTGTTCCTCCTCAGTGGTGCTCACAGCAGCTTCCTTCTTCATCAGGGGCTCTCCAGGAAAGGCTGCTTTTGCATAGTTCTTCACCATCTCCTGCACCTCCATATTCAAACTTTTCAATTTCTCCTTGTACTCCACCATTGCCTCCTGCTGGAGCTGCAAACAGAAACCCCCAAATGATTTTTGAACCAGCAAAGCTAAGCTGAGTTCGGACTGAGAATGCTAAGAATGCTACAAGAAAACCTGTTCTGAGAGGACAGTATGATAAAATGTTAGTCATCTGCTATACTGTAGTGTATATATAGTAGTTTTGCAACTCTATACAGCACACTGTGCCCCAGGCAACCTTTGGCTTCACTGAAGAAGGGGAAAAGGTTGGGAGGGTAGGGGGCAGCTTGCCAATTTACATTCTTTTGATTTGCATTGAAGTCTGAGAGATGAATTAAGACTGCGTGCTCGCCTCACAGCGACTTGAAAGTCTCTGTGCAAGCGTCAGAAGAGCCTGAGTAACCTAGGAAGGAAATAAATCTCCTCCACAGGTGTAGCTCCATCACACTTTAAATTTAGTGGGGTTTTTGGTTTGTTTGCTTGTTTTTTGCAGGATCAGGTGAATGCTAATGCTGGCACAATAAATGTAGGAGTGCAGCAGCACTTCTGACTTTGATTCATGTAAGTTCCTGTAGAACCACCCTCTAAGCCATTCAATTTCTCCGTGTGCTGAGCAGTGGGTGGCTGAAGTGTATGTAGGGGTAGGATGAGTGTACCATTAATTCAAGAACTCACAAGGAAGACTGATCCCCTATAGTGTTCTGGATTTACTGTACTGCATAACAGCACTGAGCCACAGATTCATTTTTGCCTTTACCTGGCTTTCCTTCTCCTTGATTTTTTTCAGATTATCTGTCTGCTTCTCTTCCAGTTGCCGTTGATATCTGTCTGTCCTTTCTGTCAACTTGAAAAACAAACAAACAAAAAAATCAAAGCCTCAGTTTTATAAGCAAAAGGGGATGCCTTAGCCATCCCAAGCTTATAATGGCAAGACACAGGGCTGTGAAGTGGATTCCCACAGTATCTTCCTTACCCACAGCTCCCCTGCTGGCTCCATTATATGGGTAATGCTCCTGACCCTGAACTCGAGTGCTAGGGAAGCACTGCAGAAGCTTACCCAGCATGTGCGCGCACACACACACACAGGTTCTGCTTTGCAGGCTGGTAGATAAAGATGAGACACAATCCCCTCCCCTTCTGCAAAACTGTGCACACAATAAAATTAACCTTGGGGTTGCACTGAGAATTCTATGTACTTTTTTTTTTTTTCTTTTTAAATCCCTGAATTAGAAATGTTATATATCCTGAAGAGTTCTCTTCTGCGTTGCATCTTTGTCAGCTAGGAGGGCTGACAAAACCCTGATGGGACCTGTGTTATTCTAAAAAGAATGGTATCTGTCTTCAGCTGCGGTTTGGCAGTCTGAAGGACATGCTCGGAGTCCTTGATGCAGCAGCACTTTAACAGAATTTAAATACCTCCAAGAACTCAAGTTCTGCCTGCGCCACATGCTGACGGTGTACGTGGGAGACCCCCACTTTGGAGGAGATGCAGATGCCATGGCAGATTGTCACATTAGAACTTACCAGTTTGATTGTTTGCACCACTTCCTGAATGTGAGCGTTATTAATTTCCTTCTTTAACCTTGAAAGGGAAGAAAGTACAAAAAGTTATAATCAATCCTTTATCTTTATAGGAAGCCTGTTTATCAGTATTGATAAAGTGCCATACAGCAAGATAAGACTGCTAGTACCCACAGAGACTCAGGTGTGCTTACACTCATTAAACATCCTCTCCCATAAGGAAACTACTGTAATTTTAGGAAAGGGCAAATAAACAGCATTCCAACTTGGCTGAAGCATAAGCCAAATAAGTGGGTGTAAAATTGATCTTTTTTTCAGTTTAACAAACATCAAAAGGACCTTGCTATGTGCACGGACATCAAAAGAGGTACAGTGCCCTCTTATGTACCCTTAACCACATGAATCTATTACACCTCGTAGTGATACACTGATTCATAGCATACAGTGGTTGAGTGCACAAGCTCAGCAGCAGAATATTTATTTTTATAAAAAGTAGAAACGGAGAGAAAAACACAGCCACTCTATGCCTAAACACAGCCTCTTAATTGAGGGAGCTGCTGAAAACAACTGCAGACTCTAGAGGGGGTAGGGAAGACCTAGCTTTGATTCTAAAGAGAGATAGATGCCTGTCAAGGTTTAAGGGTAAACACAGGATTTGGAAATGCTCTTAGACTGATGATGAAGTGGCTGGGAGACGCTCTGTTACTTCAGCAAGAAGCTAAAATAAATAAAAGAGCCAAAGACAAGTGTCACTGGAAGGGTCCTCTTCCAGGTGCAGTCTGTCCTCCTGTGTGGCCTCTCCCTCCATTTCCAACGAGCTCCTACTCCCTTTAGGGTCAAAGGCTCAACTCCCCTCAGGCTTTTGAAAAGCCCAGGGAGTAAAACTGATACTGGAGACTGCCTTACAGGGATCCAGTACCTCTCCTGAGCAGCCTTGTCACTGGTGTTTCTCATCATGGTTTGGATTCGGTCCACTCTCTTTGCCTCCAGCTTCTTCTTAATCTCTTTAATATTGCTGCGGAGAGAAAAGTGTGCCAAGAGAGACAGAAGGGATTACACATCCCATGTACCAAAGCATCACTATTAGCACCTCTCTATTCTGCTTCCTGGCCATAAGAATTTAACCATGGCAGTCAGACTGCTGCCTCTCAGTATTGTGGCCTGTCACCAACAGTAGCTGGAAGCAGTTGCTTAAAGGAAGTGCAAGTTAACAGACCAAATATTCCTTAGGAGGAGGAGCAGTAACCTCTTTTCCTCCTAATCCCTACCAGTTTTTCATCTGTTCTCCAATTTATATACATTTATTTTCCATGAATGTTCCTCATGCCTCCAGAATGTGGCTCTACTTTTGTCCACAAGAGCAAGAAACGTGACATTTACACCCATTACGGCAGAACCACTACCTGAGAATTTCACTGAGTGCCACACATTTCTTCAGCTACAAGAAACTGAGTAATGACTTTCTTATTCCATACTATTCATGACTTTACAGACATTTGTCACCCCCCTGCTCTTGATCGTCTCCTCATATATGTTATTTTGTATTTACTGACACTGAATTTATCTGCCATCTTATTGTCCAGGGCCTGTCTAGAATTGATCCTCCCAATTTGCTCAAGCCAGGATGCTCAGGTCATTAAAAAGACTAAGCTGAGACAGCTCCAAGACTACAGTCCCCTAGCAGGAAATGTTACCCCAAGTAAGAGCTATGCACAATTACTTCCATATTCAAATAAGCAGTTTACCTTTCTGATGACTCCTTCAGTGCCTTCAGCTCAGCTGTCTGCTTCTCTTTGGCTAACTCTATTATCTTGGTAACTTGCTGTTCAAAGGACCAACACAAGATCAAAAGCAAACCGAGATGAGACCCAGCACCCCATCCCGCTTTAATTACCACCAGCCTGAGCTTCATCCCTCCCTGCACTGAGCTCCAGTAGCAGCTGCTCCCCATGGCTTTGTGCAAATCTGCACTCCTGCTCTGCAAGTTACACAGAGGTCCTGTTTGTGGCCAGACTGCACCCAGGCTCCCCAAACAGCCCCATAACCCAGTCACACCTCCCTGCTCTGCTTACAGAGAGCTTCCAAGTGCTCTGCTCACGTGGGAGGCAGCAGCAGATTCACTGCACCTGGGGGCAGATGGCTTTGAGCAGCAGAGCCCACCTTATAAAGGACAGAGGCCTCCAAGTTGCTGGGCCTTCTGTACTGGGGCAACAGGAACAAGGCCAGGAGGGCACAGTGTCTGGAAAGGGACACACAGCTAAATGGGCAAGTATGTTCAGTTTTCTTTCTCATAGCACCTCACTAGCAGAATAACCAGTGTAGTGAGATCTCTCTTTACTGCTGCCTGCTGAGAGACAGCCTGAAAGCAAAACAAACAAACAAACAAAAAACAACAAAAAACCGACTACAGGGCTAAGGGAGAACTCAGCTTTTGAAGTCTTTTTTGGGGACTTGCTCACTAGATCTCACACTCTTTAAAAGGACTCTAAGACAGGATTGTTTTATTCTTTTGGCTTCTTTGTCTGGCAATATGCGTGGATTCCAGATAAACTAGTTGTCAAGAGGCAGTTGGTTTCTACCTGGGGCAGCTGGGGACGGGCCAGCCAGTCCTGCAGAAAAGCTTGCAAGGTGCTTGTCAAGCCAAACTGCACCAGGGAGTCTGAAATTGAAGGCATGTGATGCAAAGTCCTCTGGCAAACTACAATGGAAAAAAGCCTCCAAATCCTGGAATCGTGCCCCTTTCATTGGAATGGATGACGTAGCCCATGATTATCACTAGCATCTAGGGACTGGAACTTGTTTCCAGGCATTACTGTCTTTTTCTACTGCTGGCTCAAAGTAGTGGGTCTGAGAACGTGGGAAACACTGATGCACTCGTAGGACTGGTTGGCTGGCAACACCTTATGCAGGCACCTACTTCTATATCTTCCAAGTCAAACAAGAAAGTTCCTTCCAACCTCCAAGACTGATGAGCCCCAGCGCCGCTGTCAGGGCTAACCCAGAACTAAAGCCCCTCTTGGTGTTTTCTGCCTGACTTGTGGCCATGTTTTTTGAGCTCAGTTTCAGTGAGGAGGAACCTGGTTCTCAGTCTGCCCTTGGCTCTCTCTGTGCGGCCACGTGCAGTCCTTACCTCTGTGGCATGCTGCTCTTTCTTCTTTCGAATGCCATCGTGGTATTCCTCCCCTAGGTGGATGAGGTCCATCTCCAACCTGTCCCTCAGCTCCAGGGCTTGGCTATCAGTATTTTCTGTTGTTTCTACAGGATTGGCCCACGTACCAAGGTCATCTGTTGTGATGCTCCTGTGGAACAGATCCAGCAGCTGTGCTGCCTCCAGAGGTGTCGATACTTTCCTGACTTTCCTACCCATCTCTCAGTGGGAGCATCTGATGCTCTACAAACCCAGGGAGATGTTCCCTGCCCATTCCATGCCCGCTTCAGAGAAGAGGAGCCTTTGGTCACACACTTTTATCTGAAAAAGGCCCCTCCAAGGAAGTGGGGAAGTGAAAGAAAAGCCAACTAGCCCTGTCGGAGACCTGTGCTGTATTTTACCTCTTCTTCTTCTGTGTTTTTCCAGGATATATCATCCTTTTCTTGCCTCCGTGGCACACAGGCTCCGAAAAGAGGGCGGAATATCTCTGCAGCAGCTCCTCCTTGCGTTTGCTTCCTTTCCGCTCTAGCTCCTTCAGCTCCTTCTCCTGCTTCTTCAGCAGCTTCAGAAAGAGCTTCATCTGCTGCAGTTCTTCAAGGCTGGCTGTCTGTGGCTCTAAAATAGAACACAAAGATGAGCTGTCTTCTCTTACACAGTGTTTCTCGCACTACTGTGATGCTTTGGAGGGGTCAGGCAGGTTTTTTCAGCACTGCCATCACTCAGATTTCCTTCCTCTTTTCAGATTACACACAGATCAGTTCAGCAACTGGTAGATGTCTGGCTTAGAGCCAGAAGAACTACAGCATCTTGGTATTTTAGCCAGAGATGAAAAAAAAACACTTATAATATGTGAAGCACATGGTGACACTTGCCAAATTACAAGCAGAGGTGCTTTCAGCCCTTCTAGTTTTAATGGCTATTCGCTCAGTTGTGAAGAAAGAATGAAAGGGCTTTTTAAGCAGACAAAAATCTGGAGGGGAAGGATTCCTGTGAACTACTGGAGAACTTGTTATCGGGCAGTAGTGAGTGAGTAAGATGCAGTTATCTGTGGCTGAAAGGCCACAGGGAGTTATCTTTTCAAGGGAAGTAGGGTTTTTTTGCATTTTTTTCTTTTCTCTTGGTGTGGAATGTATAAAAATTAACGGAACTTGTGGGTGTGACACAATGCTGTGTTGTGAATGCTCACAGTGTGAAATGCTCACAGTGAGGAAATTCAGGCATACAGCTCAAGAGCAAGGCAGCACCGGGCCTAGATTGTAAAACCAAAGCTGCTGTGCCTCCTAATTGCATGTTGCTGCTTGCAAGAAGCGTTTTCTTGCAAGTGGGTCTTGGGACTGAGCTCAGTTCCAGTATGAGAGCTGACCACACAGCACGGTGGTTGCTGAAACAGGCAAATGGTGCCTTACCCAGGGAGAGTGGTTCTCTGAGGGCAGGGATTCATGTAGTTGGCCCTCTTTGCCCGCTATGGCTGCCAGGGGTGAGTTGGGGATTTGTTAATTTGTAAACCAGACTTCATCTCTATCCCAGTTAGAAATTGAGCAGACGGGTGCTGCTAGACAACCAACATGGCTACAGCCCTTGCAAACACCATGAATGGAGTTACCTGCAATTTGTGTCGCTGCTTTCACACTTACATCCTTCACCAAAGCTGCTGCTCCTGAAATCACAAAGGAGATGGAAAGGGGAGCAGGAGCAGGAGCCACAGAACAGTTGCTGGTGTGAACAGAAAGTGACTGAATTAAGCAAGCTACAGAGATGTTTAAGTGCTTGGGGACTCTGTTGCCAGGTGCAACAGAAATGGGAGCAGAAATATCTGTCTGCAACAGAGGAAAAGGGCGTTTGCTTTGTATTAATTGGATCTTAAGCTAGTGATGGTTTGGCATGCATTACACTTTTATAGATTAGGTGATCTTTCTGACTTGAAACTTGAGAAAAGGGACTATTTTGATACTAAGATATCTGAAAGGATACTCTAACTAGTTAGCAAGGGAGAAATACTGATTTGCTGTCAAATTATAAAAATCAGAGTAGAACAAGGCAAGCTAAATGAACAATGAGGGACATGCTCCTACCTGAAATTAATAAGGGCCTCTGGGCCCTTTCAGGGGATTTTAACACACTTAAAAAGTCAAAAGTAGTCAACAGTGATTTACAGAAAGAGACCCCTGAAAAGAGTAATAGATGTGGGGAGCAGTGAGGTGTTACAGAGCAGAATCAAGCCAGATTTTAAAACCTTACTCAGAAATGTCCCATCTTTGCTCAAAATTAAAGTGCAAGCTGCAATTTCACTCTTCTGGTAAAAGGCTACATCTGTGCCACACAAGCAAGGTGGTGCTTCAGAGCTTTCCTCTGAAAGATGGCTACAGAAGTAGAGAAATCTTTGGACACTTGTCTGGAAATTCAGCCAGTTCAAAAAAGTTTAAACCCTACCTCTAGGACAATTTTTTTTTTTTTTTTGTCACTGATCCTCTTCAGAATAACCCAGGAGAAGCTCAGATATCACAGCAGAGAAAAAGGCGGTGGAAGATGAGTGTAAATGCCTTCTCAAGCGAAACTGGTTTCAGTTACCTCACATTGGAAGCAACAGAGTCCTCAGCACAGGAAACAGCAATATTACCCTAATATTCATTAACCCTGCCTTGGGGGTCAGAGATGATGTTCATACCAGTTGGGTCTTTGCTTCACTTGTTGGCATTCTCAGTAGCTACTCAAGATCACTTTATTGCTATTATTACTACTGTGGAGTAATACATATCCACACCAGACACAAGAACTGGGGCTGGGATACCTACAATTTTCATTAGGATTGACAGGCACCAGAATTCAAGACAGTGAGTTAGGGCAAGAGGTCCTGATCCTATCAGGATATCCTTCCAGCACTGCCTCTTTCCTGTCTTGGGAGCATACAGGCTTTCAGGTGTATTTTGAGCTCATCCCTGCTCCACAGCTTTACCTGCAGGTCCATTTGAAAAAGGAGCGTGGAATTTCCCGGTGGACTCTGGTAGCCCATTAGTTTCAGCAGAGGGGAAGTTTCTCTGTGTTTCAGGCCTCTAAAGCAAAGAGCAGAGGTAAATCAAAGCACAGCATATGGAATTGGAGACCAAAAGATTAGTGGCCAAAAATCCCCTCAAAGACACCCAGACAGCTGGCATGTGTTTCCTGCATTACTGAACTTTTAAGAAATTTGTCTGGTTTTCAAGTATATCACATTGCTAAGTTTATTCTCCAGTGGCAACGGTGGTAATATCTACTGGTAGAAGGAGCCTCAGCAAGGGATGAAATACCCTCAGAAGCTTCTTCCACAGCTGTTGGTCTTGAGTATTTTCTACCTCTACACTGAAGGCAGGCCTCAGTCTGCCCCAGTCCAGAAATAGTAAATAGATGCATCCATTCTTGGACAGCCTTGCTCCAGGATAGTGGAAAGCCTCTTGCCAATCCTTTCCATTATTTCGGGTGGAAACCACACAGCAGGTTTGAGAGATTATGACAGAACTCAGAAAAATTCACCTTCACTGAGCCCGAGCCATCTTTTAGCTTCACTGATCTCTTGTCTTGGAGACTGAAGAACTTGATTGGGTTGGAGAGAGCAATAGTCAGGTCTAGAAAAGAGAGGCAGTCTGGATTATCAAATAACTCACTACTTTGTTTTTCCTGTTTTTCTGGTGTTCTTTTTTGGCTTAAGAGGAAAATATATTTCACATTCTCTACTTCTGAAAAGTTTTTCCCTAATAACATAAAAGGAAGGGATTTTTTTTTTTCCCCAGTCATACTCTGAGGTGACAGTTCACAACTGACGTTTAGGGACTTTTATATGGAGCTGACAAGAGGATATTGCTCCCCAGTTCAAAACCAGGCTAAGACATTAGTAAGCTGCACATCTCTGTGCTTCAACCCTGCAGAAATAAATACCTACAGCGTGTACCTCATTCATCCCGCCTTTTGACCATCTGCTTTAAAAAGAAGGATCTCTATCCCAGCATTAGCAAAACGCCCTTCAAACGAGGAGGATGAAGTTCTCTCCCATCTCAGCCCTACCCCATCTCACGCACTGACGCCTACTACCTGCCCACGCGTCAGGAACGTAGTCCTTTATCTCCAGGTACACGAAGAGCGAGGGCATCGTGAGAGGCATGTTACTCTCACTGCGGAGACAAACGTGGTGGTAGCCTGAAAAGAGAAAGCAGAAGAGATCAACTGAACCGGTCCTTCCCCACACTTGTCCACGGCTCTAATAGGATGAGTGTGAAGGCCTGCAAGTGCACCCTACACTAGAGACTAAGTGGCCAAATATGCAGGTGCTCCTGTCTTCACCAATTTCCAGTTGAAAGGTCTGAGGAGTGCAAAAGTTGAAGGAATTTCCACCAGACTTACCTGAATGCACAGCAATAACAGGAATGACACGATGGCCAATGAACTTCCCTCCTTCCTCCCAGGCCACAATTTTGAGAGATGCCAACTCTGGCATCATGATCTGTGGAAAAAAAACAACACGGAGAAATGCACCTGCGTGTCGCTCTCTCCAAACCACAACTTCCATGTTGTGATTTGCCAGAGAAGGAAATGGATTTGGAAGGATTATATAAACCCTGTAGCTCTGCTGTTAAGGGCTGTTCCCTCTCACTCCTTCCACCACTTTTTCTACCATAAAAAACCTCTAGCCTCAAAAGGGGTTTCTGAAATGCAGGCACCACATGACTAGTATGCTAAAGTGCCCGCTGTTTCACAGTGTGCTTGATGGAAATGAATACGTAACACGTATTTTGCCCTTGTAACCCAAATTTTACTATCACTTTACTTCCCATAATCCAATAGTTGCATTAGTAGAGACCACAGAATTCTTGTGGACGGATGTGGCATCTTCCCACGACCTGGCACACCTCAGAACCTCCCTTCTGGTCTCATTACTTGTCCTCTATCTGTTTCTCATCATATCATGTCACCAAATCGGTTTAATTCTTTTCTGCTTCCTCATGCTTGACGTTTTCAAAGTTGATAAGTGTATTCAGCCTGAAGTGCATCACAGAGGGGACACTTTTGATGTCTGTTATTTCCAGAAACTTTCCCTATAATCTCTTACCTGTAGATGGAAATCTTCAGAGAGAATTGTTTTGGATATGGCTTATCTGAGGGCACAACGTGTAATTCCTGGTGTTGTCTAAACCATGCCTTTCAGACCCCCAGAAAGGAACCCCTACTGCTTTTGACCCACAGGATCTCTAGGGACTTTCTGTCCAAATTACCATCAGATGTTACTACCTTTTCAAAAACAAAAGGCTCTTCTTTCCACACTGGGTTAATGGAGTTGGCCGTGGAGGTCAGTTTGGTTCTGTATTTGCGTTTTGTGTCCCTTGGCAACCCAAAGAGCTCTACTTCCACATACGTCTTCACACTGCGGTCTGAGAGGAACTGTCCAGAAAGGATCTAGGAACAAAACGAAACACAGTTAGCAGCTGCAGAAAAGAATAACATAGAGGAGCCCACCCCGAGCTCCCCAACAAAGCCCTTCTCCAGACCCAGAACACCCTTTCTGCTGCAGCCTCCAATCAACAGCACAGTGTGCTGTTTCTTTGACCCTTTCTTCCCCCATGGCTCTTGCTTTAGCACCTCCTCAATCCTCCTCCCTCACCCTCCTCACAGCCTTGGATCCTTCACCGTGTCGGATGCTAATTTTCCATTGTCATGTGATTAATATAAAATAGTGAAAGAAATTGGGGGGTTGCCATGGTAACACTCTCCCACAGGCCCCTCTGTGTTCAGAGGATCCCTGCTGGGTGGTAAAGAGTGGGGACCTGTTTGCTGGTTCCACACACATGGCCGTCAGGGAGGAGGAGCACCAGGGCTTGTACTTGCCGTGACAGCCAGGGTACTGGCCACCACCACGTCCAGACGGTCCAGGGAGAAGGGGTCAAACTGCTTGTCTGGGCGCCGCAGGAATTCGTGCTTGAGCAGGTAGCCACACTGGCCGTTGAACTCAAACAGAGCCATGTTCTGCTGCATGGGGACATCTGAGAGGTAAACAGAGGACCACAGTGAGAAAAAATTCCTGTGGAACCTCATCAAAGTAGATGGTGTGGTGAAAGTGAACTGAAATAAGTTGTACTTCTCCAGACTCTCCTAGCCAAAAACTCACAAAGTCATAAACTAATTAAGCTTCCCAGTATCCATCAGGGAAAAATATTACAGCAGCTGTTTTGCAAAAAAAAGTGGCTGCTCATGATTGCACCATAAACCATGGGTGGAACTTGATTAAAATCTATTCTAAGAGGTACCTGCTGTTTCAGGTGTGAAGTGAGCAGCTGCCTCAGCCCTTCAACTCCTTCCTCTTTCACTCCAGGCTTTTTCTCAGCCCATCTTTTCCCCTGCTGCTTCTTCCCTTGCTAACACTGCCTTCTGGTTTCTAGGTCCATCTTTAACATGATATCCTCGTCCTCACCAATATCTCTCACACCCTCTCTTAAGCTTCTTCTTTTTTCCTTCTCTCATCCTGTATCTAGTCTCCCACACTGTTTATATTTAAAAGAGTGAAGGAGGAAGAGGGGGAGAGAACAGCTTCATCTAGAATATTTTTTTTCTTTTTTTCTTTTTTTTCCTTCTTCATTCAGTATCTCCGTACTGGATGGCAGCAAGGCCACGTGTGTGTGTGTGTGTGTGTACACACAACTGTGTAGGGCAGGCCTTGCTGGCACTGCATGCCAGGATGGTGCTGGGTCCAAAAAGTGCTTTTGGTCTGTGTGAGGCAGAGCCAGGGAGGAAGGAGACAGCAGCAGGAGGCACCCAAACACATTCAGAGCAAGGGCAGTGTCAGGAAACGGCAGTGAAGGAGCACAGAGCCTCATGCATCCAACAGCTGCAGGACAACGTGACACTCACCCATGGTTTGGAAGTTCAGTGCCACCATCTGACAGCCGACATTCCAGAACATCTGGGGCATGTAATTAGAGGAGTCCATCCGGGTGCCTTTGGGATAAATCCGGCTCATTTGTCGCTTATTATATCTACAGTTACTCTATCGGAAGCAGGTCTGGAGCATTTCTGGGTACCCTGGGCCTAGCTCACGTGTTCAAATTATGAGATGCTACCAAATGCTTAGAATCTTTCAAATGAGAAGGTTCAACACCAGCTTCTTTCCCATATCTTTTTCTCTTAAGAGGAGGAATCTAGCCATAGTGGCTTTGCCAGAATAGGATGCATCTTATCAGGAATCTGTCAGCAGCCTCCAAGCCACCCTAGAAGCTCCTATGTCTCTGGCACCTACACAGTTTATTCACCTCTAATAGTTAGTCAGATCCTGAAACCAGAAGCCAGCCATATCTGCCTCAGCCTTACCCAAGCTTCGCACCAGTACTCACAAGACTGTGTCTTCTGCCAGAGTTTGACAGACTGATGCAATGTCTTAAGCTCTCACACTCCCTTGGCAATAATAAATAGCTATACTGGCGAACTGCTGGCAAAAGGATACTCTGCAAACTGCAAGGGGAACTTGGTTAGCAGATCGTAAGCCTTCAGTTCTGTGAAGGAAGAGATGACATAACTCCGGTTCTTCTCTAGAAACAGAGACAAAAAAGCAGTTAGACAAAAGGTACCCCCAGCCCCCCATCTCTTATTCTGATGGTGAAGACTACAGCAGGCCATGCACTCAAACATGTACAGCTCCACACCGGCTCTCTCAGCTGTACATTTATAATTGCTTAGGTAGAGCTTAAATCACAGGGATTTTTGCCTCTCTCTTTCCTGAATCCTATTGAAATTTGCAGAACAGCTTCCACCTAGAGTTTTAGTTCCAGCAAATCCCAATATTCCAAGCAAAGTTTTGCACACAGTTACTTGTTTAATCAAGTTCCTCCTTCTTCATTCCCCTACTTAGTTTCTTCTTGTTTGTTTGAATTCATCCTTGAATTCAGCTCACTCTGAGCTAGGCCCTGTTTTGGAAACCATTTAGAGGAACCTATTGTGTATTAAGAAACTGGATGCATCTTCCTCAGATGTGCTCCTCTCTGTCACCAGCCATGTTTCTAATCGGCATGGAAAAGAGGAAGGCTAGTCACAAACTTAAAGGGCTGGGCTCGGCCCTGCCCTCAGAAACAGCAGGACAAGGCCACAGAAACATCATTTACCTCTAGACTATTTCCTTTCATTCTCACTTGTATAGCCGAGCGCACGATACAGAGAGAGGATGATAGAAAATAGGTGACAAAGTCAGGTGAAGAATACCCTGGTCAGATGGAAATACTCTGGGTGCTGAGAGGGGTAGAGTCTAACTTACGGGAAGAGACTTCAAAGGAGTCGAATTTGATGGGCTGGACATAATTAACTAGGCTGGACATTTCCTCATATGCCGTCACTTCCAAACCAGCAGTGCCCTAGGCAGAAAAAGAACCAAGACAGATGAAGACACCTTTCCTAGCAATGACACAAAACACACCTGGGCTTCACAAAGAAATCCAACAGCTGCTCGAAGCAAAGCACATCAGGTACTTTGGCTTCTCAATACCGCAGTTATTTTCTAGGCAGCGTGTAGGCAGGGACAGGGCTTTCAAACTGAGATCAAGACACTTTATGTGATGACGTATCTCTCTAACCTCTCAAAACATGGAGTCTGGGACAAACTTGGGACATTGTTTCCCCTGCTCTCTGACTGATGTTAGGCAGATGGGAATGGAAAACATGCTTTCTATTCAAGGTGATGCTGAGCAGCTACATCCTCCTTAAGCAGCTGCACTTCATATTTCTTTAGCAGCTTTTATCAGACTGAGGCTAAACCTCTCCAAACACCCTGCAGGCAGGCAATTATCTCCAAGTCACACAGAATATCAAAGGCAGACTCAGAAATAATACCTGAGTATTATTATCCTGCCATATCCCATATGCTTGCAACATCATTTATATTATTCAGTTTCTCCTGTAGAAGCCTTATTGCACGGGGGAGGGCAGGTCTCTGATCAGTTATAGCACAGCTCATTCCTGTGTGGGATTTAATCTCAACTCAGGATGGTGAGGCCCCAGAGAAACCAGAAAATGAACAGAGTGACAGTACCTCATCTGACTGCATCTTTTTAATTTCCTCTTCATCCAGGTTTCCCAGCTGTTCCTCTTCTTCCTCTGGCTCCTCTTCAGCCACATCGCCTGCCCAGACTGAAAACACACAGCACATCACATTGAGACTGCTCACCCGACCTCCAACATTAACCATTAGTAACGGAGAGTTCTGCAAACCTACCCAAACAAAGCACACAGGAATAAGAAGCGGAGGAATGGGATCCTCGTACCCTGAGCCCAAGAGGTAACAAACTTAAGACTGAAGTGGTGGGGAGGAGAATGGGGACCGAAGGTTTTATAAACCTTCAAGAACATCAGGGTCACCAGAGATTTACAGGGAGTAAAATAATTATCCACGCTTTCATAAAACCAACAGCCAACACTATTAGTGAACTACCAACGCATGCAAACCCAAACCTCAGGACAGCCAGAAGACTGGATGGGCAGGGAATTTAGCTGGCTCTCTGACATAGGTTGGAATGGAGCCTCTGAAAATATTCTGAAGGCTTAATTTATCTCCTGAGGTTAGGCATATTCTTAAGATGCCTGAATCAAGGACTGCTATGAGGTCGCCTCAAGGTAATATGGGGCTGATCTGGAAGATGTCCTGGGGAGCAGACTTACTCATCTTGCAGTTCGAGTCCCTTCAAACGTACCTGTATCTTCACCATCCATAGAGGCTGGCAGCTCGGTGATTTCTGGTTCTACGTTTCTCCCTTTCTTCAAGGAATTCTGCCTCTTTCCTGACACAGACTGGTTCTTTTTGTTCTTAATCAATATTTTCCCTAAGAGATCTTGAGGACTCGGTAGGGGAACTCCTGGCTTCAACTGCAACAAAGACATTTCATACTGCATTTACATCACACAGACAGATCTTGAACAGCTGGCTCTCCTATGCTTCCCATTACTATTCCTCTGGCTACTTATTAGTGCATGGAAACCTCTCTCCACCATTGTACACTTTAAATTCTCTATCTGCTAGCACATCCTACTCTGTCTATGCAGATTTCTCCTAAAATTTCACCTTCCTGAAGTTGATTTCAGACTAACATTTTGCATCTGTTACTTGTGCACACTACACACTTTCCAGTTACTTATCCTGTAGCACAGCTGAAAAGGCCTGTTCTGTATTACCTGGAGCAATCCACACACCTCTGGCTTTCACATTCCACCTGCTTCTCTCATTATCCCAGACTCTCAGTCCCAGATCAGTATTCAGACCATATTTAAACTCTCTGCCTGAAGCAGATTTGAATTAAAATATCGGCGTGGGGTGGGGGGGTGGTCAAGAACAAGGATGTGTGACTCATATTGTGTTTCTGGACATACATTCCCCGTTTTGAGAGCAACAGGCCTGTTAATAATTAATTTAATTAATACCCTGAGCATACACTCTCCTTCTCCCTTTTACCTGCATAGAGCCATTTGTCTGGACCATAGGCAACTACCAAATTGCCCCAAGACTGCAAGTAAGCATGTTTTTTTTCCTCATAATAACCTCTCCACGAGTCCAAGTTCTTCCCACGCCACCTCAGCCTCCACTTACTGGGTATTTCTCCAGTGGCTCTGTCAGCAGCATATTTCCAAATATGGTCCGGCAATACTCAGCCATCTTCGCCTGCTGCTTGGGCCTAACAAACAACAAAATCAACCAGGAGCAAGAAGGAAAGCAGGTGGTGAAACCCACAGCTTGGCATGAGCCACAACCTTGAGGTCCATGAAGCCTACATAGAAAACAATCTTTTACCTTCTCACAGACAACTGTATGGATTCTGAAATACTCCCTCTGGACTAATCCCTTTTATCCACACATGTCACCCTCCAGCTAAGGGAATGGGCAGTTATGGTGCCTTTCACTCTGTAGCTTACTTCTCACCTCTCATATCTGACCTGCTTCAAGTATCTCCACCAGTGTTTCAGTTCACTGTCCCAAAGCTAAGCCAGGAAGCCCCTTAACACCTGGCAGGCCTTGCCTGGGGACTTTGTGCAGAAAAAACAACTCCTCCCCACCTGGGCCCAAGCACCGGATACTCACGAGTCCACGTGGTTTTCAAAGGACAGGATAACAGGGTAGAGAGATGTTTTGAAAGCACTTTCTGCAATGGCCTCAATGGCATCCTAAAGAAAGGGAATGGTCAGAGAGAAGATAAGCACTCACTAATAACCCAGCCATGCAGTGACTGCCCCTGACAGAATTGGCAGAAAAAAAAAAAAAATGGATAAAGCCCCAGATTAAATTCCTTCAAACCTGATTTATACTTACCTCTGAATCTGCCCATTTTTCTACCATTTCAACTGACTATAAAATCCTTCTGACTAGCAGCAAAGAACACTACAATGTTCAGTAACCAGCAGTGCTGACATTTCAAATGCAAATACCATGGAAACGTTCTCAGCATTAATGATGCAGGAAAAAATAATCATATTTTTTCCTCAAGCCCCTGTTAATCTGTCACAAACTTTCCACTATTTTCTTTCCTAGTGCTGCTAATTGCTATGTTAAAGAAGTATCGTTTGCTCCTTTGCCTCCCAGATTTTATTCCTGGCCATTCGTGCACATTCATTCACACAGACCATGGCACGTGGCAAAGGGACTGCAGGTTAAACACCTGCAAAGAGCCATTTTTTTCCCCCCCAAACCAACTCCCAAACAATCAAGCAGCTCTCTCTACTTTCCCCCCAAATTCTGGGTCTTCAAGCATCTTAGCTGTGAGAGAGGCTGCCACAGTTGCTTCTGTATGGACCACTTGGACTGCCTATCAAATAACCCTGCAACGCTCAGGGAAGGCAAAGGGGCAGAAGAAGCTTTTAAAAGGCCACAGGCAACGTTAGAGAAGGGAGGGAGCTGTGGAGGGAAAGATCTACTTATTATATAAAACTAAAATCTGGACACATGCTGAGTTAACAGGTTATAATTTCCTTGAGGTACAGTCAAATGCTAGAGCAGAACCTGCTGCAATTACAGCAGCTGCAGCTGTCATTATTTCTGCTCTCCGTTATGAACTGCTGCGCAAAAAGCAGCAGCGGTATCACAGGATCTGGGAAATTACTGGCACTGAATCTGACAATACCTCTGATCATTACTAAGGATCAGGGGTGTTTTTTTCCCCCACACACAAATATTTTACTAAGAATGAAGTGTGGGAACTGGAGGGAAGTTGCAGAATAATCATTAAGAGCGTAAAGAAAAAAAAATGTACCTTTGCCTGCTGGCAGCTGCTGTAAAGGGGTACAGAAAAAATAAGTGTGCTGCATTGATTTTTAACCTACGAGCTGTTCGTAACTGTGCTTCGGTGCCCTAAATTTCCAAGTGAAAAGCAGGTTTTGGACTGTGCGCCTGGAACTTGGGAGCTGGGAAGGTGTCTGCCCAGCATCCTGGAGGGAGAACACACCTTGCACAGCCAGGCAATTAGGATGTAATTCCTAAGTAGGAAGCATTCCTCCAAAGTGCTCCCATGTGATGCTGTAGGACACACAAACCTGCTGTAGATCAGTTAGGAGATATCACTTGTTTTCTAAAACTTGTTTTTTGCCTGACAGACACGCTTTTCTCCCACAACCCTCCATCCATCCAGCCTCCTTGCTGCACAGCTGAGTGTATGCAGCTGGATCTACCCAACCACCTCTCCATCACTCTTACCCGACAGCCAGGATTTCCCTCATTCATTCATCTTTATCCAGCTAACAACCTCTCTTCTGCTCCTCCCGCTCCAAAAACACAGGCAAAGTCCAACCATACAGATTAGCCTCTCCTCCCGCTTACCATTTCATTCACTTGTCATCTGCCCATCCTTTTGCTCTGAAACATCTTTGCCCTCAAGCCCAAGCTTTCGCCAGGCCCCTCAGCCAGCCCTCCCTGAACAGAGATCAGTTTCAAAACAAGCGAAGGAAGAAGACATGGGGGAAGCAGCTCCTTCCTTGCCTTGAAGAGGATCTCAGTTGTCATGGTGAAGCCATGAGTGATGATGGGCTCCTCATCCGGGGGCCGGCCCTTCCAGCAGTCCAGCTCCACGCAGCGGCAGCCAGCCAGCAGGGTCTGGCGGTACATTTCGGGAGACGAGATGCCAGAAAACTGACCAGCTGCAGAAGAGCAAAGGAGATGATGGAGAAGAGCAGGAGGAGATGATGGAGTCCAGCATTATGCACTCATGTGGGACATCTTCTGTGTAAGCTGAAGTGATAGGACCCTCTGCCTTGCTTGAGCACATGGCAGGTTGGCAAGATGTTTTAGGTAACAGTGACATGCCCACCGTTTGCACAGCATCTGTCCCACCCCTCAGGCTGTTTTACTGCTCTCAGCCTTCCAAATTCAGGGCTGCTCAACTGACAGAATCACGTGTGTGTCCTTTGTGATGGCACATATTGACATGAGCTGAGGCAGACTATGGAATTGCCCCTACCTGTTAAGTAGGTGTTGTGTGAGGAATTGATGAAGTAGTGTGAGAGTGGCTGGGTCATGTCCTGGTACAGCACTAGTTTGTCCAGTGCTACCACGTTGTTCTCGGGGCCACAGAGAAACCAGACCATCCCCTCGGGAGACAACTGTCCTGCGTGGAAAACAAAGCTGTTAATGGCAAGGACACAAAATGGTTCTGGCAGCTGCTTGCCATTGCATGACAACACGGGCACTGGGAGAATTAGACTGAGAAAGTCAGGGCAGCAGACAGGGTGACATCCTCTGCTATTGCCCTGCCACCTCCACAACAGGACATGGGGGAAAAACAGACCTATGTGCTGAGCAAGACTCACCTCTCTGGATGTTAATGCCACTGGGCTCATACTTCTCTATGAGGCTCTGCACCTGCTCAGGTTTAGCTGGTGGGAAAAGGATGTCATTGAGGCGAGAGTCTCGCTGCTTCTTGTTGATAAACTTTGCCAAGTGCTCTTTGGTCATGTAGGGCTTAGCTTTGAAATGGCTACAGGAAGAGAGTTACGGAGGAACAGGGATAAGGTTCCTGTGTATCACCCAGGAAAACGCCACAAAAGAGAGACTCTGGTAACCAATGGGCACCAAGTTCTTTGGAGCCACAAACTCCTGTGCTGCCTATGTTTCTTCCTGTAAACGCTTCCCACTGTGACCTTCCTTCTGTCTTTATATTCTAATTAATTTCATAGTGTTAACAGTTGTGCTGGGGGTATATTTCAAGCCTCTGCTTTGAGCTCTGAAATGGCCTGTATTTCAGAAGGTGGTGAATTGCTTGCCCTATGAAATCAAGACCACTTAACAAGTCTCAGCTGCTTGGAAAAACAAACAAACAAACAAACCAGTGGTTACTTGTGAGCGTTTAGTGTTCTCACCCTGTACAAGGCCTTGTCTGGCTGTGGCCACAAGCCCTGTCACATTAGGAGCATTCCCGCAGCCCAGGGAGGCCTCATCCTCTCTGTTCAGACTGCCAGTGCAGACGTTAAGGGACCATTCTGTACTTGCCCTTCTAGGAAGGCTCAAGACCAGCCACCCTAAGCAGCCCAGCTACCCCTTTCCTCTCTTTTATACTTAATTTTTGTCTCAAGAAACCACTGTGGCTTAAGGGAAACTTACTGTGAGGTAAATATCTCATCGATCTCAGGCCGGGGACACAGATTCATAAGGAAAGTTTTGTACACAGTCTCAGGGAAGTCCTCTGGGTTGATAGCGTCATTCTGAAAATGAAACAGAAGCCTGGCAGTATCACAAACCTATTCCTGCCTTCACTTCTCTGTTAACACTGAACACCCACAGATAGAGGATAATTACAGCACTTGTTTGCAACAGTATAAATGAGCAACTAGAGCATGTGGGAAGCTATTGAGAAAAGAGCAGATGGAGAGGAGAAGCACTGCAATGGCCCATCTCCGAATGGACAGTAAAGCAAACTGCCTTTGGTGTCTCTTGTGCGGTCATAAAATAAGAGTGTCAGGGGCTGGGATTGTGCTCAGCAGGTTGGTAGCAGTGCCAAGATTAATCTCCAGGTCTGCTGCTGCAAAGAGCAGCCAGTGGAACAAGTAAAGCAGGTGGAGGGGACTGTGCTGCTGTTTGTGCCATGTAGTGCCAGTGACAACAAAGCCACAAACTTTCCTGCTGTAAGAACAGGAAGACTTGATCTTAGCAGCCTGCAGTTAAGGCAAGGCACATAGTGAGGAGGGCAAAGGGCTTCACAGCAATTCATAGTGTTTGGGCTGATTTTTTTTTTTCTCAGAGTCAACAGCATCATGGTCAGAGTAGGCAAAGATTTTCTAGAACTGCCTAGTCAGATCCTTACCTTGCCCTTGGGAAGATGACAAGCACTTAATGCTGCTTCCACCCTCTTCCTATCTGCAGGGAACATCTGAAAAATACTGACCAGAGAGGGGAAAATCATCAAAACCACAGTGTAACGGGAGTGAAATCAGACAGTCTGGGAACAGCCAGAGTGCAAGATATATATAGGAGGGTGGTCAGTATATATGATGAAGGGGATGGTCAAGAACATGAATGAGAGAAGAATGTGTTACTTCAGGGGAGTAGCTGGCGACCAAGTCTTAAAAAGTGACATTTCTACAGTAAATTTTTGACTGCTCTCAAAAATATTTCTGCTATGGATTCTATAGGAGCTCTGGCACTAAGCTGGATCACTTTATCCTCAAAATCACTGCTGATTGTCCTTCCCCTAGCACCTCTTGGAAGTGCCCTCCTTGACATCACGCTTCAAATTCTCAGGGACAGTTCTTCCCACAAGACACTATCGCATGCAATAGCAGGCATCTGAGTACAAATTTCATGCAAATTTGCTGCTGTGGATGAAGACAAACTTTTATGTCCTGGAAAACAAAGGCTTTTCACAAATTCAAAGAACAAACGCATCATACAGGCAAAGAAGCTGCCCTAATACACGATGGAAGGACAAAAGGCTGCTGTAGAAACCAAAGCTCAACTCCAATTTAGAAAGTAGAGCACTGGTCTGCAGGGCAGAATTCATTGTGTCAAGCCTTCAACTTAAAGCAGAATCTTTGCCATTTTATGTAATATTGACAATAACTGAATTCTCTTTATTTTCAGAAGCTCCCAGCCAACAACAACAAGGTCTCCTCTGTGGACAAATTCAGGGGTCAATCCTGTTAAGCTGCTGGTGCCTCAGGTGCTCACAGACCAATAAGGGGAGCAAGAAGTGCCAAATGTGGCGAGAGGCTGAAAAATGTTCAGCTGCAGCAGACAAATGCAAACTCATTCCATATCGGTTCCCCAGCGGCTCTTTGCAAGGCAAAAATCACAGCACCCTTGCTATGCTTCAAAGGGATGTAAATACCTAAAGACAAAGGCAGGTGCTTAGTGGCATTCCCCAAAATTATTCAGATATGGAGATTTGAAAGCCCATTGAACACCTACCTGCACCTGGAGATGCCAAATACTTTTATTATCATTATAAACTCTTAATCTGGACTATCAGGCTGTCTAATTTAATTGCTCTCTAACTATAGATAGTAAGGCACTTTGAATTACTCTGTAAGAGGTGCTTAGGAGAGAAAACTGGCAGAGATTATTTTAAGATTGCTTTGGAAAAAAATAGGGTCTTTTCTCTCTGCTTGCATTTTAAGGATCAATTTAAAGAACTCGCCCCTAGAGCATTATTCATTAAAGACCTATACATTTTTTAAAAGCCTCTGACAAATACACTCGGTTCTGACCGAGTGAAATTCTGCCAGTTGGTGGTTTAGAAAACAAGCAGCAGCAACAACAAAAGTTTATTGTTGAATAAGGATCAACTATCCCGGAAGAGATTTAGCCAGTGTAGGCTCAGTCTAGAATTGTTAGGCAATGTAACACACAGTAGGCAGTGCATTTATTGCAGGTGATTGGCACGTGCTTTTTGCAAAGCTACAATGCAGCACAAAGCCAGATGCAGAGTAGTTCAAAACCTTCCAGTGAGCCGCTAAGAATGCACTGACTGCAGGTCCTTACTCTTAATTTAGAGGATAATTTATGCATCAAAAAGGGGACTCAACACTGCAGTGCAGTATTTTGTCACAGTATGAGTTGACTAAACACGGAGGAGCCGTAAGGCCAGTCACGGAGGCATTTGAGCAGAGGGGACACTGAGTGGCACAAAATCAATTCTAGACTCATGCCACACAATGCAGTAGGAGAGAATGAATAGCCTGTTTTTTGCTTCAACAAGCTTTCTTACGTTAAAGCATCCTACACCTCATCCACCTTTTAACTCAGCTCAGCAAAAGAAAGCCTTGACCAGAATATTAACAGACTGTTTTTGTTGATCATTACTTGGCAACAGCCAGGAAGTGAAATCCGTGGTTGTTCAAGACAACTTCTTGCTGCAGATGAAGATGAGTCTCAAAAGGTCTTCCAGATTATGTGTCAAACTTTGTGGGGGTCCATGGGTGCAGCAGGAGTTCTCTCATGACCTTAATCCAGAAGCTTTATCTGTTTGGTGCATCAGGAGCAGGCACCTGAAACCTGTCCTATCACCACATACTCTGCCTTTAGTCTGACTGACACACAAGGAAGACAAATATCCATACTTACTTCCTAACGGGAATTTTTCCCTCTGCATTAAGTTGCAGCTTCAACTTTACCAGGCTGTGAAAAAAAAAAGCCAAGAGGAAGGATGAAAATTCACTTGTATAACCTTTCAGTTTTATCAGTAGGAAGAAAGTAAGAAAATATAATTAGGAAAAAGAAAAACCATAATCAGAATCCTAGCAGACTGTGAGCTTTGCCTCAGAGAAAACCTGTCCCCAAATCCTGGGAGAGACAAGCAAATGATAAGAGCTTTGATATCCAAGTAAGAGATTCCTCTGAAAGATTTGATATAAATGTGAAATAATGATACCTGCTACTTAGTGTTCCTCAGTGATCCCAGGTGGCCAACAAAAGAATATTAGAGAGGTAAGAAAAAGAGGCAGCACTTCTTGCAGTTTAGCAACTGGGACTGTGGAGGGGACATATCGGAGGCTCCAAATCTCTGCCTTATACCAAGTGCCTTTTCAAAAGGCACAAGCACTTTGGTGCCAGTCAGCTGCTACGTGGCATATGGCCCAACTACCTGCCCTCTACCTCTGCCCTGGGGCTCCTGACTTGACACAGGACTTGTTTTGGAGCTGTCAAAGGACTTGGATGCTGAAGAACCTTTTATTTCTGGTGCAGAACTCACACTAAAGTTTTAGAAAACAGTATGTTTGTCAGAAGGCACTTACATTTTCTCTAAGAAGGTGTATCGAGAAGCATTGTACGTGAGGGGATTCCGAACAATGGCCATGATATCCTCGGCCCAGCTCTGGGAACAAACAAAAAAGCTGGACGTTAGGGAATTGGAACAGTACCCTGCGTGCACAAAACCAGTGGAAGAAGTTCGGTGTGACATTTTCCTAGAAGTCTCTAGAACTACAGAGGTACCATGCTTTACTGGACCACAATCCTGTGTTTATAATCTTGTCATTAACACTGGCAGGGCTCAGGTTCCCTGTCCTCCTCCCTCCTTTCTCACTCTCCCTTGAATGCTCCAACCCATAGTGCTCCCAGTGCCCCCTTCCCCTCAGGCCCTGATACCTTGCCAACATTCTCCTTGTAGGACACAAAGTTATGGAAAGTGAGATCCACCATGTCAGGGCCGGACACAACAGTCAGAGTCTTAAGCAGGAAGGTGCTGTGTGGGTAATCCAAGTTAAAAACCTCCCGGAGTTTCTGGCACTGCAAAAGGGAAAAAACAGATGGGGATAAAGGAAGAATGAAGGCAGAATGATGCTAACTTGAAAAAACACAACCTAATCCAAACCTTGATCCAAATTCGTACCAAGCTTCTTTGCAGCTTGCAAACTTTTGTGTGTCTGCTCACATTAGACATCCATACCAGCTTATTACAGACAGCCCTTTGCCAAAACACTGATAAGGTCTTTCAGATAAGCAGTGTACTTTATGCTACAACCTTGCTGCACCATGAGGAAGATGCTGTTTGGGGTCCTGAGAAGTCTACCAGGTGCAGAGCAGCTTACTGGAGAGTTTATTCTCTCCCTCCAAGCGCTGTTAGTTTTGGGTTCATAGTGTTGGTTTTTTTCCATAACAATTGCAGTATCCTCCAGGGATGGCTTTCTTGGATTTGTTTTGTAAAGTAGAGCGCTCATCCGATTAGTCATACTTGGGTTTCATCACTCTATGAGAATATTTATAGAATCCCTTTAAATTATTTCGCATTCTCTGTGTTCCTATGTAAGGCACTCACTAAGCCAAGGTAGTCCGAAGTTATGCTAAGAGTTGCTGTTCATAATAAAAGGATAAAATTCCCATGTCCTAGAATAAAGCACAACAATCCATTATCTAAAGTGCAGGAGAAATCCATATCAAAGCCAATAGGGAGGCTATCAAATTGCATGTTCCTTCAGAAAATAAGGGCAAAATTCACACTCAGGCACTGTCAGCAGAGCACGTCAGACTCAGAAGTTTAATTGGAGCTAAAATCAGAACTCTCAAATGTACAAGTGTGGTCAGTTAGATGCATGACTGAGCTGCTGCAGTTCAAAAAGTTAAAGCAAACAAGTGAAACCCTAACACAGTAATAACCTCAACAGAAGAGGTTTAACCCCTTCATTTGCCATGAACTTAGAGCACATATAGAACCAGTGCCCGCTAATTAGCCTAGGCTCAATAACTTTTGAGTTACTATTAAATGGATGATGTCTGAGTTTGGGCAAGTTGAGGGAAGTGCTCTCCCTCATCTTAGACTTTCATGGACCTCTAACTTGCCCTAGAACAGATATAAAAAAAAAAA